TTTGTATCTGCGAAGCAGATATATTGCTATCGCAAACGTACCGTACCATATCCCTAGCCATTCAGCGACGGGCTTATATAATTCAGCCAATTTATGCCAATTTAAGCCAATCAGCGATCAGTTTACATCAATTGTTTACATCGTGCCCGCTGATCTAACCTGCGAACGGGCATACTTTAGCCTCGTCAGGCCTCGTGTATAAATCGTGTTATTCTTTCAAAAATACTGTATCTTGATATTTTTATCAATTTATCTTGAATTGGCTGAAGAGTTTTTTCCGAAGTTATTTATCAACATGGAATCTTATCCTCATCTGGTAAGTAGTCAAATACCATATACTATAGATTTAAATACCAAATTTGTGCAAATATATATCCCACATATTTAATACATGAGTTCGGTAAATTGGGCTATTAGCCTATTACATTAAAAAACCAAACCCCCCCTGTCGAGGACCTCTGCTTTTGAGGATTTTTACCCCTCTGGAATGCAAAAAAATCTGTGTAATTGACCCCTCTGGAAGACTTGAACCCCCTCTGGAAGTGCTTTTTTGCTTTTTAACCCCTCTGGAAAGAGCATTTTTATATTGCCGTATCTTCGGCGTAGAGACTGTGTACATGAAATGCAGTCTGGAATTTTTTTATTAATATATTACACTGTATAAAATATTGGATATTTTCGAGGATATTTTAAGCCATTTGTCAACATAGTTCACAAAAAGATTTATACAGTAAAACAATCCTTCTGTGACTTCTCTAATATTTTAAACAGTCAAAACATAGCAGGCAATATTGCCAATGAACAATACCAAAGGAAACTAATGGTCTAGGGAGATATTGAATTAAATCCTGGTCGTGTATTTCTGTATAAACTCTGTTCAAAACAACAGTCCAACTAAGCTGTCATCAAATGTAGTGTTGGAGGTTAAAGATGTTATCAGTTTACAATACTTATACATTTTGGTTTTACACATTTAATAGAGTTTATAATTAAACAGGATTTTTACAAACATTTTCAAATGCTAATAAAAGAATCCCCACCCTCCCTCCTTTAATATTATACATTGTTATTTTGCTTTCTAACATAAATGTTTTTGTCTAGAGATTAATGCAAGAATGATGAATAAATGTACTGGATATTGGCTAGATAATTTTGTCAGAACAACCCACTTGCAAGACAATCTTACCTAAATTCATAAGTATCAATGGTATGGATACTGTAATAACTTAACAGCTACAATAATCATATATTATATGGATGGTCAGATCAATGGCACACAATATGTACAAAACTAAACTTGTGATACCTTCTACTCAAACCGATATTCTCCCACAACACAAATTGTTTTTGTGTGGATATGTTGTGTTAAACCGAACAGTGTGGTATATCATTAACTGTGCACAGGATTGGAATTTAATTATATACTTCATTCATGACCTTTAAAACATTCTCTACTATTCAGTGGTCTTCGATATATGATGGACTCTTTGCTACAGTATTAATGCATGTTCCTCGAATAGTTTGTGTATGTTACTCAACAGTTAACGTTGGCAAGTGTAAACAACAAGTGACAGAACTTTTGCTTCATATGATTACAATAAAGTTTTCAAAATGGGTATGGATTGACAAGTGACAGTTTACTAAATAGACACTGCGAATATTGTTTGCATGAAATTTTTATTTTTTGACTACATAATTATCCGAGTTACAATCATAACAATCAGGGGTGAGTTGTCCCTGCTGCCCTCTGTGCTGTTTACAGCCTTGTTAGATTTGTACTATGTTTGACTTTAAAATCTTATTTGCTATTATATTTATTATAATAAGTGATGAAAATGTGAATCAAGTTTTTTCGCAGATACATGTACGCGTCGCGTACCTATTTTTTAATTTATTAGCAACTTCATTAAATAGCATGATATTGAGACGTGCACGGTTTGCTTAAAATCAACACTCAATAATTAATTTGCACTCTTGAACACTGTAGTGCATGCTTGCGAAAAATGTTTCTTTGCGTTTACTATTATTACTCGTAAGTCGATTTGTTACATGTTACGTTTCAGCTTGAGTTAGTAGATGCTACAAGTACAGTAAAACTAAAAAATATAGCGTAGCGAAAGAGCGAAATTGTTCGCTACATTTTTAAGCAGTAGCTGCAGTCCGTACCGAACGTTAACTGCCTTTGTTCAAAATTAGCAGAACCGAACGTACCGAACTACCTTTGTTCAAAATTCGGCCTTCGGCCTCAGCTGGCTGCAATATATCCAATAATGTCGTTGGCCTCAGTAATTATCTAATAAATAATGCTGCTTGATTAATGTTAATTTTGGTAATTAGATGTATATATTTTAATTCTATTATGTTACGCAAATTTCTGTCTAGATTTTTAGCATAAAATGCCAAGAGCATAGATGACAATTTGTTAGTTAATTTTCAAAAGTCTTCTGGTGTAATACATATAACACAAATATTACGTTTTTAAGTAGGACGGTTTACATGTGATGACCAGACTCTCCATATACGTATATCTCCTGGGTTTTCGGATATCGGATAAAAATGGACTTCTTTGATTTTGACGCAAGCAAGACTTCTTGTCAAATAGATGCACATAAATTCTGTGTTTTATGTAGTAATATTTAATCCGGTTGTGCACTAGACGCAATTTTCGTTTGGAGCGCAATTCCTTTTTGCTTTTTCTAATAACTTCCACCAACAAATTAGAAGAAAAAGATTAATTTCGCTCTTCATGCAATATTTCTCCTAGCGGAAAACCGCCTTTATCGATCTGATCTGTCTGGCCATGTTCATGGAAAAGCGCAACTTTAGTTTAAACTTACACTTTTCAGGTCTTTGTTGTTCTGTCGGTTTTATGGGTGGTTTATACGACTCTAAAAGAAAAAAAATAAGCATGAGTAGCAACATTAACATTTTCTGAGGATTTAAAATAAATTAATTATTTCAGTAAATTCTTAGTTCTTGGTTTATGACAATTTATGCACGACATTGTTCATATACAAGCTATTCTTTTCTCACCAGTATATCTTTGAATAATTTGTCAGCAGAGGTGCCCTCATAGAAAGAGATATACCTTGGAGTAGGTGAACTTTAAATGTGGAAACTAGCAGTTAGTGGGAGTCTGCTGTAGGCGCACCAGCCCGAATGTGTCAATTAATGTAGTAATTTGGTCATCATGATGTGCCGTAAGTTGGTGAAAAGGTGGGTAAATACATTTTTACGTGGTTAAGAAAGAGACTCTGAAGGCAAAGAGGAATTTTGCATTTAGATTGGGAAAAATACATTGCGGGCTTGATATTAACCTGAAGTTCAGACCCTAATCACAGAATAGAGTCTGACTAAAAACCTGTCTAGACCGTGGGACGCCCACATGTTATTTTTAGACACAGCATACAATATGATTGACAAGTATTGTAGATTTCGTTACACAAAAACTTTATATTCTCATGAACATGTCCGCAGAGTGTGCATTTTGCTTTTTAATTAAACTTAAAAATTCAAGGTACTTTTATATAATTAAGAGTCAGTTTCTCTCGAACAGAAAACAAAGATTTAATTAGTCAGCTCTGTGCACGGCTTGACTGCCAAGCTTTCTCAAGATCTCAACTTGCTGGACGCGGATATGCTCTAACGGGCTAACAACAGCAACAATGAAATTCTCAATCGTATCACGAAGAAGCCGATGTAGCTCAGAAAACAACACCGGTAGGACCTGTATTTAAAATAAGACTTTTGCCGGCGAAGCCAGTTGACAGAACATCTTGGCTGTCAACAGCAAGCTATAGAATCGGACTAGTTTGGCTGTACTTTCAGCGTCGTTTTTCCAAAATTCGTCAAAGATTTTGACAAAGCCCTTTCAAAATACTGTTTGTTCGATTTATTTTCTGCCATAAAGCATAAAAGAAAAGAAATTCTAAGAAATCGATCATGGATTTGTTAGGTGCGTTTGACCTTTATATTAATTATCGCCTTTAGCCCTTGACCGAGCTATTTTTAAAACTGTTGTTTATGTGAACTTGCAACCAATCAAAATCTTTCATGACGCTGATAATCCAATCAGTTTTCCATTCCACCAGATGGACGGGAATTCCGCAGTTTAGACAGGTTTTGTGTCAGGCCCTATGCTGTGATTAGGGCCTGAACTTCAGGTTAGCTTGATATTAAATCCATTGAAGTCAGTTCAGCATATTTTCCCACCTTTAGTATCGATAGGGAAGGTTTTTCAACTTTTTAGATAATTTATTTTGTTTGAAATTTGTCTTCACTCCTCTGTTTGTTTTGGCGCGAAATGCGAAAGGTCCGTAATGTGTGATATGGACGTTTGTCAACCAATCAGAAGATCCACTTACGCTACGGACCTGAGATTGCTGACCGGAAAAATAAAAAGTAAAATTTATTCCGTTATTTTACTCCTTTAACTGCATGCATTTATTCCCAGTGTAGAATATATATGTTGGAAACAAAGTACTTTTAACTCCATTTTTGAGTAAATTACACTTCGAATTTTTACTCCCAAATTTTAACTCTCAGGTGGAATTAAATATCTCTATGAAATTAACAGTGCACTTGTGTCCCTACCTACAAATTTTGTTATTAGTGGTACTATACCTACACTTGGCACACCGCGCAGTACACATTTGCCATTTGCATACAATGTACATTGTGTATAAATTATGTGGACATACATATCAATGGTGAAGAGATCATTTCTGGACAGTCGATTTCATTTCTTTGGAATTTATGTGAATTTCGAATACATGTGCATTTTAACAAGACGGTGAAGTAACGTGTAACATTTTAAATATTAAAATGGGAGCGTATGTACACATACCATTATATGCCTTGCAGATATACGAATATTTGTACTGACAGTGATTGTCATTCCACGTTCCTTCCCACTCCAGATGTATGCAATGTTCTTGTCGAAACACGTCATCCGGTCCTCCATGGTCCCAGTTAGCGTAATTATATGTAGAACCATCAGTCCATTTATAGTTAGCTTCAGTGCCAAGATCATTCAAACCAATCCAAATATGAGTGCTATAGAGATGCCTAAGTTAAAGACATGACATGCACGATTAAACCTTCTTGA